GCTCCTTTTCATTTTGACCTCAGTAAACTCTTTATTGATGAGTAATGTGTCTCAATCTCTAGTTTGAAGTCTTATTTCAGGACATTCATTTCATTGAGTATCTTGGGAAGTCACCACAATATGAAGATGCAACATTTCTCAGCAAAACACCAAAGAAAACTTTCTACTGGACCCTGAACAATGAGACTTTAGCAGCCAATGATGATGTCACTTTGACCACATCCATCTTTTACTATCATTTTATGACATTAAAATTAAACAAGATTATTTTTGTGGAATGGCATGTAATGGGAAATCATTTATATTTGGACTAAATTCTCAAGGAGTCTGTATAATTTTTTCTACCTGTAGTGCAGCAGTTATGCATTTCATTAAAGCTGCAATCCAATAACAAAAACAATACCTCATGTAAAAAGTGGAAGCGCACATAAAGAAATCTGACAAAGAACAGGAAATCAAATACGATGTATCTGAGTCGGGAATGTGCAGTTGTTGGGTTTTTTTTGCAGGTTTTCTCTTTGTTTAGATCCATCTGGGTGACAAGGTGCACGTTTGATTATCAAGGCAAAGAAAATCATGCTTTCTTCTTGCTTTATTCTGATCCATTTATCATCCTTCCAATGTTTGAGAAATCAAGAATGATTCCAAGAATCCGGTGAATTGGTGACAGATGTAATTTAAAAACCAAAAAAGACCTCCCAACAACCCAAAGCTTAGTTCTTCCATTTTTCCCACATTCGCTTGAATGCAACATCACTCCCTTCTCTCATTTCGCTCCCCCTCCTTCACAACCCACCACCCTGCTCCCGCTCTGTGGGCGGAAAAAAGGGGGATTTAACTCGGTAAGAGCATGGTGGCCAGTGGTTGTCTGGTAACAGCTGGATTTGCCTCCATTGTGCTCTTTGTTTAACTCTGCCTGCAATGGTCCTCCCTGGACAGCGCCCTCCTGATTCCAACTGTAAATTAAAAAGGCATCTTTTGCCCCGTCTGCTACATTAGTAATGCATTATGCACACATGATTACCAACTAAATTTAGCATGCTTTTCACATCTAGACTAAGAACAAAACACACACACACTCGCACGAAAACAAAACAACATGTGCTTCCCTGCAGATGACAGCACAGACTTCCTGCCTCCACTTCATGAGTCTGAAACCCTACCTTCCTCATTAATGACCTAAAGACAATGCAAGGCCCTTCATCAACCCTCAGTCCTGTTTACACTCATCCACCTCAAAGGACCAGTGTGTTTCCTGATAAGGGATGAAAGCAAGCTCGCCTCTCTCCCTCTCTCAGTGGAAGTGGACCAGATGGAATTATAGCTCGAGCGAAAAGCAGCTCACCACCGCTCACCAGAGGGAGAGCGGCCTCTCGCAAGCACTGTAAATATTGTAAGGTACACTGCAGCACAGGAGCACCGGTGACTGAATAATTAATAGGAGCTGTGTCTTTGACAGAAATATTTTGGAGGCCATTAGCTCTGCTACCTGGCCAGTGAGAACATATTTGTCAAACGAAAGCAATGCCGAGGTGGTGATTGATTTCCGGTGGCTGCCAGGTTAGAGGCAGCGTGCCTTTGTACATTAATATCATGTGGCATCTATCACAGGTCACTTCCTCAACTCATCTAGTCTTGGCTGCCCTGCGAAGACGAGCGTTTCAAAATGTAAATTGTCGTCATTAATTGCCAGGTACCCCCGGAGGCGTCTTGGAATGGCTGCTCGGGTGTGTTCCACACAGATATACACTCACACAAATGCATGCTTTTATGGTGTTTTTACATTTCTTAGAAATGTCTCGGAGTCATTTCTTTATAAACCATTCATGTCTGTGCCATTCAAAAAATATATATATTTTTTAAAAAGCAGATAATGAGAAAAAACATTTTTAACTTATTAATTAATTAATTTAAAAAAAACCCACTGCTATAAAACAACAACAACAAAAGTGAAGCCAACATTCTTTTCTGTGCAAAAACCCCAAGTTCAAACACAAACGACCAAACATTTAACTAGCGGCCTGGGAACCCTTTCACATTTGAATAATTTCTCATTTCTATGCTTTGAGTCATGGTCAGTTCGCCATAATGGCTAGTTCTGGAAGGAAATGCTAAATGACATGGAGAATAATGCAGCTATATCTACCTTTTTACTCTGTGAGTTTACTCATTTGATGAATCAATTGTTTTTTTTTTCTTTGTTCTAAAGCGTTCTGAAGTGCGTTTGCCTCGTGCTGCCCCGTACTTTACATTCTGTCTCTCTTTTTTCCCCCTTTTCTGTCTGACACTGCTGGGGGAAGAACGGGTTGGTTATCTTGAAGCGACGCCTTTTACGAAATGCAGTCTCACATGAAATGCGAGCTGTTATTGCTTCTCTTAAAGAGTGCAGTCGCAATATCCTGTGGCAGAGCCTCAAGTACAGGCAGGGCTGTCAGGGAATATTTTCGCCTTGAGTCAGACTCAAGTCTCTTGTTCACAGTACAGATCCTGGGGGTCAGCTCTGTTACAGAAGAGGGCACATTACAAAGAATGAATTGCTTCGATTTCATATTATCTCAGAAAGTTTGAAATGACACTATTAAAATGTGACTTTTTTCATTCAAATCATTAGGACAAAGTGACTAAAATATCTGCTTCCATTGCACATGAAATCCATAAATGTTAATTTTAGTTTAAATCGAGTAAATTCTTTACACAAATCCCACATATAGCACAAAGAGGAGGAAAAAGGGGGAAAAAGAATTCCTGAAATGTCGCAACAGATGCATTTGGCCACATTGATGTCAAAGGCAAACTGTGTAATGTCTATCACACCCATATGAAAATTCACAGAGTGAATTAGAAATGCATGGGAGGCACACAGCTGGCATGCAGTCTGAATAGTAGCATGCCTGTCAGACTGGATTGTCTGGAGTCTTGCAGACTGGCGACAAAAGAGCAGTGCTTACTGCCAATATAGAGAAATAAATTAATGAGAGCCAGCGTGCATGGCTATCAATGAGAAATCTTTTATCAGTTTGTGTACAGGTAATTTATTTTAATTCAGTGTGTAAATCCACTGCCTGCACAAATGTGCACATAAGATGCTTGGCTTCTTGGCTCAAGAAACCCAGGGCTGTCTGACCGTCAGAGCCAGATATAGATGCGGTCAGACAGTCTGAGATCCAGCCAAAGTGTACAAATAAACCATCTACGCAAGAGGAGCTGGAGGCAAGAGCAGGAAGCCATGAATAGACAGTTACAAGGCAAACATGACATTTATTTTATGGCGGGAGAATATTACGAAGGGATCTCATAATTACCAGCCTTTACAGTGAACTATAACAACCACAGAAAAA